TAATGGCACAACGTTACATGGATGAGATTCTTCAGCCACACATCCTTCACATTATGCAACAAGCAAACGTCATTTTCCAAAAAGACAATGCCCGACAATGCAACAGCCTTTTTCAGGAATCACATCCAGGTCTCTAGATTTAAGCCCAATCAAACATTTATGGGATGCACTGGATCAACGACGGCGAACATGTCAGCAACAACCACAGAACCTCCGACAGTTGGCACAGGGTCAATGACAATGATGTGTGCCAAGTTTGAACAATCGATTGCCATCCAATTTGATTATGATATTTAACATATACATCTAAAATCACTTTTGCGTTTCATTTATTGCAGGGAAAGTATATCTTGCAGGCGTTGACACTAGAAATGTTGTATTTCATGTTGTTTTTTCTCAGTCAGCTCTTGATCCCCAACATGCCCAAGCCTTTGAGAGTGTCCGCCGAGCAATGAAGACTCCCTCCAGAGTGAGTACTCAAATGTTCATAAATGAGGGGGCTTCATTCATAATGGATGTTTGCAAGTACTTTTGTAAAAATGATCTGTATCTTTATTGCCTTTTCTGGGCCCAGTCATCTAAGATACCACTAATTCGCTGTACTATGTTGCATCCCTTTAACATGCTAGAATGCTATGATCATGGGTTCAAATCCCAGATTCGCCCTCAATTGTGCTTGTGGGTTTCACCAAAGTGGAAAAGCATCCTGCTGCACTTAGGCCTTTACACACATCAAGTGGACATGTCATGATACCCAGAGCTATCAAACACTTTCAGGCGATGTGAAATGGGGCTTAACGTTGCATCCAAGGTGTGTGTGCGCTTTCTAGTGCGTTTTAACATAAAGGCAGGGCAACATTAAGTAACATCTTTTAACGTTTAGGTTTGACGCAACCGGGGATCAAACCCTGGACACTACCAGTAGACAAAGGAGGCGGTCCAAAAGGCTTTGAACCTAACATACATAAAACTGAAATATTGTCTTGAGCTTTAATTGTTTCTCAACTTAGCCTCCTTACAGTTCAATACGCTTGTTCCATCTCTTCTCCAGGACAATTATTGTTTTGTAGAAAGTCAAGTTGCTCCACAGCAGCAACCAATTCTTGGTCCTTGTTAAATCTATGACCCCACAAGAGCTTTTTCAAATTGTAGTCACTTGGGATCGGATCTGGTGAATAGTGTCCTGATAGAGGAGGGCACCACGACTTAGTTTGCCTTAATGCTACTCTTTGATAGACATGCACAATCTTTTCAATAAGTTGGGAAAGTATTCACCATTCACAGTTGTTTCTTGTGGCAAACTATCAATGAGTATTATGCCTTTCCTGTCCAAAGATGATTGCAATAAATTTTTATGTGGATATATTTGGTTTAAACTCCATTGATTCTTGTTTGCTCTAGGGATCATAGTGATACATCTAGATGTATATTAGATGTGGTAATCCTTGTTGACTTCATTTCATCCAATAGCATTCTAGGAACCCATCAGGTACAAACCTTTGACAAATGCTGATGTTCATGAAGGATTGTTTCTTTTGACCCATACAAGAGGTCTGTTGTCTCCTATTCCTCATGGAAAGTAATGTGCCAATTGTTCAGTACGAGGTTGTGGTTGGCGTCAACGCTTTCTTCCCAACTCAACAAAAAAACAAAAATACCTTAACTAGTTTGTATTTAAAGAAGCTATCCAAATGAGAATACGACAGACATTCCAGATCCATTTTATGCGTAACGAATAGTTTAAATAATCCATTAATTTCCATCACAAACAAGGTTAGATCCAAAATCTTTTCTGGGTTAGAATAGGTCCCCAGTGGCTAAATTGATGACTTGGTTGATTGAAAATCAGGTCGGGTATGATGCCCCAGACATTAAACAACAAAAGACCTTTAATACCAATGGAACATACTACATGTTTAACACTTGAGTACTGTCAAGGATTATTGAATTTTATTCTTTAGAACATAAATAACGTTTAAGGACTAACTCACAAATAGCAACATCAGATTTATAAATTGGATTATGAGTTGGGTAAACAGAGGTCATGGCTCTTGAAAGTCTCCACATTACATGAATAGCCTCTACTACAACTTTCCATGCAAATGTTGCAGCTTGCTATCCTGACAGAGCTCGCCAGTGGAGAGCCCTCAGGGCGGAGGACTGGCTACAACAGAACTGCCTCCAGCATCTTCCAGAATGAAACCTTCAAGCTGAAGCTGGCTCCACCTATAGCTATGGAGCTAGCGTAACAAAGGATGTGACGCTTAAAAAAAAACTGTAACCAGTTACCAGTTACTTGTTATAAGAAGGTAATATCTTTATTATGTAGCAGATAATTTACATAAATGTCTAATTAAAGGGTCTACATGAATCAAAGATGAAATGACCATAATATTAGGCAAAAAAAACAGTAAGCAAATTATGTACATAGGTGTGTATACATTCAAAAGCTGCTTAAGTCTGTGGCTAACTATAAAATATGTACATGAACCAAAACCATTGCTACTAGTGTCTGCCCTGAAACTACATTGTGTTATATGTTGGCCAGAGAAGGTCATATAGTAATGTCTTATTTTCCAGATACTGTAAATATACACTGTCATGTGCAATATGTGAATGTTTTGTTATTAAAGTATGAAAATGTCAGACATCATAACAAAGGATGTGGTTTGTTTTAAACATATTTTATTCTTCCCCACCCTTAAGGCGGGGGAGTATACAGGAGAGGTTAAATTTGTAGCATGTAAGTCGACATGTTGGTTTCTTTGAAATTTCAAGCCACACAGTTACCGAAACGAAACATACAAATCATGTGAAATGTGCGTGAAATGTTGATGTTTATCTTTTCCAGCAATAAGAGATACTTCAAAATCTTCTTGCTATTCTGAGACTTAGTCACTTTTCGTAATGCTGATAACCCATGAAATTTGTTCATTTTGTTTTTAAAAGAGCTAAAAATGATCCCATTTCGCTAAAGTTAACCGGTCTATATTTTGTAAGAATAAACTATTGCGCATTGAGCGATTATCTCCTTTAGCTATAGGCGTAGTATAGAAGTGATAAATTCACGAACTGACCTTGCATTGCTGTACATCGTGCCTTATTCAAGCTGTATCACTGAGAGTGAGTGATTATCTCCCTTACCCGAACAGCTCAATTGCGCACTACCTTTGCAATGTATCGTATGTTATTCAGGCAGCCATCGAGAAACGTTCCAGGAAGGAATTTAGGCCAAGCCTGTAACGCGCACTCAATTTTCACACTGCTTTTGCAACATATATTTCAACACGATTAAATAACAGGCTTCTATAAAGTATGACTTTGTTCAATAAACAACACATGTAAAACAACGGGTTTGATATGAGAATTTTTTTATTAGTTATCTTCATAATCACATGTATGGCGCTTGCTGTGCATAGTTGAGCACAGCATTGTTTTTAATACTTCACTGTATGTAATGTATGGTACATACTGTTTCATGCGGCGGTTTACGTTTCTGCATGGTTTATTGCTTTGACAAAAAAAAAAAAAAAATTCCAGCAGAGATCATACACCCGTATATGTTCTTTGCTTCTGGATACATAGGACAGGTTGGTCTGTAGTTTGCAATTATTTTCCAAAAAGATAATACGGTTGCATGATATCTCCACGATGTTTGGGTTGAATATAGTAACATTCTTCTAAACAAATTTCAAATCTAAGCCGGAAGCGATCACAACACAAACCCAGTTAACCAAACGGAACCATACACAAGAGTGAGTGAGGTAGTTGGGTTTAACGCCGTCTTGAATAGTATTCCGTGGGAGGAAAGTCTGAAGTGATGCAGGTCTTAGACGTTCACCACTTTGGTGAAACCAACGAGCAAGGGTTTTGTGCTGACAACAAAATCGGAGCGAACCGAGATTCAAACACACTGTCATAGGTTTCTCGCATGCCCAAGGGACACAACTCTGCATAGCGAATTGCAGCGGCTTCGGCGACTGGGCCAACAATGCCCCCGTAAGCAACTGTAAGAAACTATTATACAACAAAGATGTTTTAGATGGGGTATGTATTGCGGAACATTCCATGAAGAAACAGTGGCTATATTACACAATCACAAACTACAAAATACATGCACAATAAACGACAATTAAAAAACACAGGAACATTCAACATTCCAAAGAGCTACATTATAACAATTTTATTTGTAAAACAAGTGTATTATTATGATATGGAAACAATATGGGAAGTGAGCAAAACTATGGTAATGTTGTACATACATGTGCAAGGAATTTGTTTGTAATTGTTGATATGTTAACAGATCTTGGAAGTTGTTTCTGGATAACTGCTGGTAAACTTATTAAGAATCTGCACCTTTTAACAGAGTGTACTAAATTCTTTATCATGATTGGGGATTATTTGTGATTCTCTTTCTTGGTTGTATTATGTAAGACAATCCGTAATGTTGTTCATCTTCTGAGACATCACATGTTTCACAGACGTTCAAATGTTGTTGGGATTTTTTTGTATATCTACAATTTTTTCAATTTTTAGTTTGTGATTACTTAAACGAAGTTTTGAGAAAAGTGACCTATGTCCTTTGTTTTTACAATATGTAAGATAATTCTCAATATTTATAGATAACGTGACCAAACTGTATGTTCCTAACTTGCTGCTAGATAAATGGGAATCCATTAATGATTGCGTGAATTTTTACATTTGAACTGAAGTCTATTGAGTATATATATAATGAGTGGATTCATTACATTTTTTGTGTTCACTATTTCAAAAGTTTGCTTTATTTAACCCAACCAACATTTTGACCAGAAATATTGATATTTGCTGCAAAAGCATGCTTTAGAATGACATTTGTTGCGTTATCTATATAGGATTTTTTTTATTGGTACTAATAATGGGTATATATCAAGTTTTGCCTGACAGGCCCAGTTTTCTTGCCTGGGTTTTCTTTGTGCTGACCAATTAAAGACACTGTTTCTTTTATTGTGCTTTCCAAAGATAAGTACATTAATAACAACCAATTTGTACTGAACACAAATTCTCTCCTCCCATAGCTTACACTTATTTCCTCTGCACATAACATTATATTGCGGGGAGCTATTGATGCTCTGCAGCAATCTCTACTTGTTCAGATTGGAATGGATTTATCCAAATAAGAACTCGCTCTACATGGTGTTTACAAAAGACTGTACAAAAAAAAGACTGGTATTTACATTTATGAGTGGCACAAACCTCTTTGTATGACTTGTTGATTTTCGTTAATGGACAAACATTCTTATTCATTTAACAAACTTAAAATCTAATTCAACATTGTGTTCACAGTGTTATATTAAATGTCCCAAATTATTATTAACACAGATTTGTCTACATTTAGAAGATTTCACACACTTGCAACACCACTACAGGTAACTAAGCAAAGGTTTGTTGAAAATATTGCTAGGAGGGTCTTTTCTGCATTGGCATGAGTGTTACTTGTAGAGTGGATGATATATGGTCTTATTCTTTTTCAAGGGATGTAAATATGGTTGCTGGAGTTGTGTCTGCATAATGTGGGAAGGAAGGCTGGGGGGTTATCACTTAATGTTAATGAAACATACAGGCATGGTGCTCATGGACATGGGTAGTTCAACATTGGTACAACTGTTGCCTCTAAAGATGGCTAGATTACAGAAGTGTGCTTATTAAACATATTTCATATATATTTTGATATTGCTGGTGTTAGCTGTGAGCATCCGACAGGGGATTATTCTAACAAAATTTCATAATAAATATTTTCAACTTACAAATCTGAACAAACGTTTTCCCATCATCATGCTCTTATTTTAGGAACATCTAGTGACATCTTATTGCTTTTATGGGTAACTTCTTTTTATAGAATAATCTCTTTGCAAGGACTTTCTACAAAATATCTCTGTCCCAGACTTATTTTGTATTTGAACACTATCAACAACACACATTACAGTGCTAATTTAAGGAAATGTGAGGTATGAGGTGAAAGCTTATATTTCAGCGGGATTAAACCTGTAACTAGGGTGCAGAGGCACGATAAACCAAGGTGCCTTCCTCATGTACAAGAATCTCTATTTCAAGTAATTGTATGTCAGCAAGAGGTATTTGACGTCAAGAAAAGTGGGAAACATAAAATAGTTGACAAGTGTCGGATAAAACACTTTCTCTCGGGTTTGGCCCTTGTCCCTCTTCTCATATTTACAATGTCAACCAAAACCTTGGGAGTGAGTTTTATCCTTGACATGTAGCCGTGTGGGAATAACAGTTATTCACATTCATAAGTTGAAAACTTTGTCATCTGATTGGAACTACTACTTTTATTTGTATTCTAACACCTACAGGAGCAAGAGACACAGTTGTTATTGTGTGGACCCCTAGCAGAGCTGCTGCTTTTGCAGACATCACAGATGTATATGTGATGGTGGATCCTGCAACTATGGAAAGATGAAATATCCTGTGTATAATTACGAGGATAACATGAACATTATTATACAGGATCATCCTCATGTAAATCTTATTACATGTGCAGCTGGCATTGATGGAAAGACCAACTCTTGTCCTGGTTGTCTTACATTTCACTCTGACAGGGGTGCCAGCTCTTGGATCAAATACCATCATGTCTGCTTGAAATGCTGTGTAGAAACCCCTGTTGGCTGCCCACAGCTCACCAAATCTTCATTTGAACATTACTTTCTTCCTCAAGGTATAGAGTGGTGCTGGTGACTGCTTGTACCGACCCCCTTCCATCATAGCATTAGCTCTGCCCACTTCGTTGTTCACCAACAACAACACACTCAGGAGGTCGTATCTGGAACAACAGAGTAATACTGTGCAGTGTTTTTCAGGCTTACAAAGACAGACTAAATTAAACAGTAATTGGACATTACTTCTTTCCTTGAACTCCACATGGTCATAATTTGATAGATTGTTAGTACATTGTATTTCGTCACGTTTGTGGCGATGTACATATTCATGCATCAGTAATACAATATGTAGAGGAAACAGTTTACATCAGGAAAAAGCAATACATTTTGGTGTAAGGAATTAAGAAAGAGAGTGAGTTCATGAGGTTTCCTGCTATTGTATTTGAATCTACAACCCCCCTAAAGTTTAGAATTTTTGAAGTAGGGCAATAAGTACAGCATGACTTCATTCTCATCTTCAAACATTTGACTTACATGTGTCTACCTGTCCAATGCAGGTGATTTGAAACTTTCTGAATTCCATGAACTATCCAACCAAAACAATCCGAACAAGCTTTAAATTCAAGTTCACAGTTTGTGTGTTAATAATTAAGCTCACCATTTGCAGCTAGTGAGCACCAATCTCCCACTGAACTCATAACAATTTTCGTGTGTACAGCAAATCGGCACACAACTAGATAAAGGGAGACAACTCTCCCTGCCTTTGGATTGAAATAGGCCTACTTTTGTGCAGTGCTTCCCATTTATACCACCACCATTTTCAGACGAAAAAACAGTACAAATATGACCACAACACTCATATCCATGACCAAAATGTCATGGTTCTACTCACCTTGTACCATGCTTGTTGAGCATCTCACAGAGTTTGGTTATGTACCAGGATCCGTGGCTGCGACTTCTGTACGACACAAAGCCAGGCACAGTAGCATAGCCGATCAGGAAGTCAGCCTCATTGGGGATTACCTCCCTTGGGATCCCATCCACTTCTGGTTCAGCACTGTCTCTCTCAATCTCTTGACCTGGAAATTGTACATGATTATTATGACTATACTTGGAGAGTGTCTTCCACAGACCTTTCGTTCATAGATCATTTGCAGTACCATATCATTCTGTATTATCAAGGGTAATTTTGTAGAAGACTATAAGGTACACGTATCATGTCTAACAGCAACAACAAATACACTCCATTGTCCTAGGTAAGTGTATGGGATGAACTTCAGTTTGAAGCCTACTGATGCTTGTTTTCACAAGAGATACCAAATAGACAAATTAACACAACCGTAAACATCTGCAACTATATTAGAGCTGCCATAAACAGATCATAAACACTTCACAGGTTTGTATACACTGTTCCTCCATCACCAGTGAAAATGTAGGGGTACCGGTACTTTTCTTAACCCATCTTCCTGAGGCAAGGGAGTTGACTGACTATAGAAGTCCAGTTTCCACCCTTGCCAGACCAGGCTGGAATTGTGGAGTTATATTTTGGCTGGATTAATGTGTCTATGCATACTCAATCAGGTAACGAAATCGACATCCTGTTCATAAACTGCTGTTCATCAAAATAAGGGGTTACATGGGCATACATTTGTTCAACCTGCTCTACAGAAACAGAAACATTCTTTGTTGTTTGGTTATGACAAATCGATCCAAATAACATCATCATTAGATGGAAAATGTCTCTTAAGAACTACCTTAAGTCAGTCACATTACCTGCGCGCCGTAATGCACTTACATCAAATAAGGGACGTCAAAATTGCCAACATGATAAATGTGACAGGAGAGATTTTGGAAGTTGTTCCTGAACCTCTGGCGACTACAAGTGTTAGTCATTAATGATCAATGAGCCGTTCAATGAGCCGTTCATTGAAAGGTGATTGTAAAGATGTTTCAAATAGATACTAAGGTAAATTCATAGACTGTCACTGTCAGTCTAGACACGGATCGAGTCGATATGAGGATAGTTTTGATGGGCATTTCTTTGTTTTGTTCACTTTGATGGATGAAACTGAAAGCAAGGATATCTTTGAATGTGCATGTTATCAAACTTGGACTTATCTCAATGTATGCTAAAACGCTAAGGGTCTAAATGATCAGAAACAGTGCTTCTGTATTTATTCGTATTAGGAAATTCCCAGGGGTTTCTCCAGGAATGTGGAAGTAGTCCATCAGTGTTTACGTCATTTCAAGACTTTAGTCTCATGAAGAAACATGTGAACATCAAAATTAGTCGTTCATACACTTATGAACTTCAGTTTTGCAGTCATGTGACCAACCTCTTGTCCAATGGAAAAGCTGTATATTGTGTAAACTTCACATTAAAAAATTATTACAAGATAGATTTTGATTATCAATCAGATCGCCTTGATTGAATGACACCATTTTGTTTGAAGCAAGTGCATGTGATATGAGAGATGGAATCTGATTGGTCTTTAGGAGAGACATAGAAGGGACATAACTTGTAACAGTCACTGGTGGCACTATTATGGAGCCCAGGAATTCCAGCATAGTTTCGCAAGGGTGGAAACTGGATTTTACAGTCCGTAGGAGTAGGGCTGAGTTATACACGGCCTCATTTTATTAGCTGACTAAATGTATACATGTCACCGAATATTTGCCCAAAGTTTTCACAGGTGATGGAGGAATGCAGAGTATACATAACAATGAAGTATTCATGATGACAAAACACCTACCTTCTTGTTTTTCTCTGCCTTGACAAGCTTGAATGAAAAACATTTTGGGTTTGCCAGCTAATGATGGGCACACAACCGATTTGAAAGGCCCAGTCATGTCTGTGATGCTGACAAGCCTCCCATCGGTGCCATATATGTGCCCCTGGGCACCATGAGATAGTACACAACACACAAAAGAGTCATACTCTGTATGATCTATATTCAGGGCCATATTAACCAACACACGGACCATGTCTGTACTCTTCATGTTATCATATTGGCGGACATCGAAATAGAGCTCTGTAAATGTCTTGAGCAGATTTGCTGAAAAGAACATGTTAACATTTAGTGACGGACACGATTCTTATGGCACTATTAGAGTGTGTAAGTTTATTGAACAGTTATATACAATTTAAATGACATGTTTTAAAATATAAGTTTCTTCCTTGAAAGATCTGGTCACATGCAAAAATATGTTTTACAGAAGAGATCCAGTAGTTTCATTGATATGAACCAGACATGCAAATTAGTTCAATTTTCAGTGATATTTGGTGAAAGCTATTTTACACTCTCTAAATAAAAAGTATATATGTATCTGACAGCCTAATCCACCCTGGTACCCCACTCCCACAGACTCACTCACCTGCATCCACCTGTGTCCCCTCTCTGTTGGGCATTTCTCTCGCTCCACGGTCCTCTGGGTCTTTGTAGAAAACCTCATTGTTGATTATGATACATATCCCTGAAAATGTCATCATGTGTCACATTAAACTCAAACTGTGGCCAAGTAAAGAGTGAGTGATAGTTGTCTTACACTGCAGTAATCAGGTGGGTTTACCTCACGATAATTTTCATAAGAATCAATGAGCACACAAACTGTTAAGCTGGTGAACACCTCTATAAAGATATCTATGCTGAGAGATGAAAATTTTAAAACTCTCGACATTTGGCACAGAAAGTAGGTGAGTGTGTGAGTGAGTTGGGTTTAACGCTGCTTTTAACAGTATTCTAGTTACATCACGGCGTGTCAGCTTAATGTGGGAGGAAAGCCCGAAGTGATGCAGGTCTTCAACATTTACCACTTCGGTAAAAACCACGAGCACGTGTATGGTGCTGACAAACCAAGAAACATAATCGGGGCGAACCAGAATTCGAACCCTCAATCATAGGTTTCTGGCGTGCCCAAAGGACGCAACTGCGCACAGCGAATCGCCGCGCCTTAGACGACTGGGCCACCTGTGCCTCCCCACAGAATGTAGGATTGTGTGGAAGTTTATTAAAGGTAATATTATTACGAGGCATGCCATCAGAACAACTTGCCTCTGGGTTTGCGGTCCATTCTATAGTATGGCATGATTCTGTCTGGGGCCTCTTGTGTATGACTAGAACTTGCTGGAAAGACAAATGCAGTGAATAACATATCAAGTGGATTTATTAATATTTACAATGAAGTCAAACAAAATCTCATGCTAACATGTTCTACAGCCATGAATACCTGGTACCTGGTACCAGGTACCAGTTGTCTTATTTGTCTGAGGTAAGATATTCATCAAACAACCTAAATCCTAGGCTGATTGGTTGAAATGGTTTTAGGGGAAATGATCATCAAGAGCTGAACATAAACCAAATAACAACATAAAAGGCTGCAGTTTACTAGGACTACTCAATGAAAATCATTTAGTAGTCATACAGTTAAAAAAATACATTGCACCTCTGTCAATCTACCCTTTCATTTGGCTATATTTAAGCCAATCAACAGTCATCATCTACATGGGACCAGTGTTTTCTGCATCACTTACCTACAGCCGGCAAGACTGCTGGTTGGGGTGGAACTTGCTCTGGTTCTTGGTATCTTGCCTCCGCTGAAATAGTAGCAGAGAACACTCCCAATAACACTCTATTGAACAAGGTAAAACATTCAATAGTAATTTATTGGAAAGACAGTCAAATTAGGTAGGTCACAGTAACTTTTATCATATTTTGTGTTGAGATGGAATTACAGGAATTCCCAAATACACAAAACTCAGACTGAGCAAAAAGAACTTTCAGCCAATAACTGTCTCTGTATCATTGTCAGAAGATATAGGTGCAACTTTATGGACAATTATTGGATGACCTATAAAACATTTACAAGACTGGTTCATCGCTAGTTGCTTAATTTGCAGATTGTAAATTGAAAATCTTTTCACTAAACCTACATTAGAAAATTCCAATATGATTATTGTACGTACATGTAATCACAGAAATGTTGGCATGGTCGTGTAGAGACGTTCCCTGTTGTCTTGATGCCAGACTGATGTCCTGTAACTCGGATGTACCTGCACAAGAGTTTAACACAGAAAACACTTTAGTGGGTTTGTCAGGGAGTTGGGTTCAACACTGCTTTGTAAAGTATTTCTCATATATCACAGCATGTAAACTAAATAGAGGTGGGAAGCTAAATGTGATGCAGCTCTTTTAAGTTTAACACTTGGTAAAACCGACAAGCATGGGTACGGTGCTGAAAGAGCTTAGGCCACTGGGCTATCAGTACTCTCACAAACAGTGTGAGTGTAAACAACAAGGTCAGTAGGGATGTAACTACTGACTGACCTATCAATTTATTGCAATTGTGCATGGTCTGATGGTCATCTTACATCAGTGACAATTATCAATAGGTTAGTGAGTGAGTTTAGTTGTACGCAGCTTTTAGCAATATTCCAGCAGTATCACGGCAGGGGGACACCAGAAATGATCTTCACACATTGTAACCATGTGGGGAAACAAACCTGGGCCTTTGGCGTGACGAGCAACCACTTTAACCACTAGGCTACCCCACCGCTCCTCAATAGTTAGATCGATGTCACATGAGACTACCAACATTTCAACAGATATAATAACCAGACTTGTCGTACACACAATATGCATAAATATGTTTAACTACTCTGACAATAATGTGTACCCTACTCGAGATTTAAACCCTTTCTTTTGACCAAGTTGACAACTCTTTGGTTATCATCAAGCTGAGACAATCTATGAAAATACACAATGAATTTGTTCTTATAAGTACAGAGCTACAGATAACTTTTTGAGCAATTTGAGTTTTTACTTGAAGGTTTCTATTTTAATTGGGTTATTACATTTTTCATGGTGTAAAATATATTTTTTCACTCATCTATACATCACTTTATTGTTTTTTCCCCAAAATGAGTAAACATTTTGAGATTTCATAAATGAATCAATGTGTTTTAGATGTATATGACGGTTCTAACTATAGGCTTGACTCGGAAAGCAAATTAGCTCATATTTGTGTTTCGGAAATTAGCTCTGCTGTACGCTTGCTGAAAGTGTTTCATTGGGTATTTACGGGTGCTGTTTTTATACATTTAAATTTTCCATACAATGGCTACATTTTTGTACCAAAGTTAATTGGAAGTAATTGTATTTTGAATATTTTTGCGTGTATTTTACGCAGATACGCAGCTTATCTGTAGCTATGTAATTATTCACAAATGTTGTTTTAAAATTTAACTGTCATTCATGTCATGGCAAGTAGGTGATGCAATAATTATAAAAATATAACAAGGAACAAGAATAGACGGACAAAATGATATTGTGTCTTCATGAAAACCACTTAAAGTGTCAGATTTGTCCTCTCACCTTCTTCTGACGGTCTGTATATTCTGGAGAACTGCTCTGCCAGATGGTGGACCTGTGCTTCATGCAGGGCTTGGATGATGGCAGCCATTGCAGCATCACGGCTTCCTTGCCACGTCTGTAGCCACACTGTCAGCAGTTGATGCATCCTCTGTGTCACGTCAGGGTAGACACGAGACAGTTGCTGCAGAACTTCAGGACCTACTCTCAGATTAAACCCAAACACTGTCCAGTTCTCATGATGTAATTCAGAAGCTAGTTTGCGTGTGATGTCCTGCAGTTGATCTGGGGTGAAAACTGAAATTACAAGACATAAGGTGAGTGCAAAAATGTTATAAACAATAAAAAATCCGAAAAAGAAGCATACACAAGACGCATATTCTGCACAGAATAAACACAGCTCAACCATTATCTTTTTTCAAAGCACAGGTAACAATATCTTGGTTTGCTTGCCATACATGACCAAATGCACAAAATGGTTAGACAAAATCTCTGTAAAGTCACAGGAAGGGTATTGGCAAACTAAGATGTCTTTAAGGATGGGGTTGTAAGATGTGTATTGACGCAAACCTCAAATGCACATTTTATCCCAAACTGCATAAGTTAGTTCATCTGTAAATCTGCTAATGAATGTTCAGCCAAATGATTTACATATGTTTGTGAGCTTGATTGATTACCTTGCTGTGTGCTTGTTTCAAAAGGATATTTTACTCTTGATACTGCAACTGCAGTTGGAGCTGCTGCTCTTGCTCCTTCAACTGTGACCCCCGGGGTTTCCCGCCCTACCCCCCTCAACTGTTCGTGTTCCACAGCTGGCACCTGATTCACTACAGCTGGTGGCCTCTCTGCTATAGTGGTGCGGCCTGTTTTTGTGTTTGGTGGCAGCTGAGGCTGTGGTGGAACGTAAGGTTCTGATGTATCCATGCCTTCTTCCATATTAGTTGTATAATTAGTTAATCCTTTTGCACCTGAAACATTGGCATTGAATTTGTGCTTACAAAGACCATCCAGGACATGGACATGGCCCTCAAAGTTTGATTTATTCTTTGGAAGCCATCTTGCTCTTGATTTAATCTTCTGAAGTCTTTCTATTGTTTCTGTTACCATTGAAATACTTGTTACCTTTCCAAATCAACATTAACTTGTATCATATATTATATTAATATAAATTGGGAAACTCATAAATTCCAATTTGAGGATGTTTATGATGTTTAGAATATTGCCGTAGACCTCTTTGAACACACACACAAATTCCTTAACCTCCCTTGACACACCTACTGATGATGAAATATATCTTTACATGAAACATATTCATACTACATATTACTGAAAACCTAAAATCTTAAGTGAATAACATAATTTACAATTTTACATACCTTCATATTTACAAATAACTTCTTGAAGATCGTTTCGATCAATTGTCCCCAACAACTGTTTGAGTTTATGAAGATCGTCTTGTGTTATTAGTTTTGTTTGTTCCAAATAAGTTATCAAAGCCATTGGATTTACAATTTTTCCCTTGTCCTTCTTCTTCATGTCTCCAATCAAATACATCATCTTGTGCAGCTCTTCTGAATCAAGATCTTCTGCCACTGCTAACAACATGTTCCTGTAATCCGATATTTGAGACTGACCTTGCTGAATTCTTGTTTCAATGACACTTTCATCAAATCCAAGTTCTTCCTCAAGTAGATCTATGCGCTGAATCTTTTTCAAACATTCTGCAAGATACCAAGGATTCTTTTTGCCAAATTTCCCAACTTTTTCCCATTGGGTTAGCAACTCTGTAGCCGTTGTTATGCGGTCTAGTTTTCCACCTGCCACGTAATCTCGACTGATGAACTTGAGGGCATCCAAGTCGTCATCATGCAAGTCTTCTCCGATGTGGAGCCCTACTCTTCTATAGTCCGGACCTTCGTCTTCAGCATCACAGGTGAGATTCTGAGCATCATACCTTGTATCTTCATGCATCTTATTAGTCAGTCCAAGTCACTTTGATCAGGGTTCAGATGACACACCTGCCAAACCATTTAAGAAACAGATGATAAAAAATTTTTGAATTCAGTATCATGAATATGAACAAGATGAAAAAGGACTTTATCAGGATCACAACATAGCAAGAGGATCATAAAAATAATACTGATGATTTAGATAAGATTCTCATTAGTCAGCTCTTACTATAAACAAGGATAACTGAACAAAAAACGAAGCCAGAAAACGTACAAATCTTTATCTGGGCCATATTTCCTTTATTAGACGCCTGGACATATGCTGTCCAAAAAATAGAACATCGGCCTCTTAGACGCGGTCCTGTTCCACAAAGCGATCTTAGTGTTAGGATGATCTTAAGCCTATGTTTAAAGTATGGGAGTTATGATCACCTTAGTGCTAACATCACTTTGTTGAATGGTGCCCAGGTCTCCAACATACTTTTAGACTGATTTATTGGAAATAAATAATGAATGTTTCCTGCAAATGTATCCATTGTAAGACATTGAGATTTGGCAAGATTGTGAGTTGCCACTGCGCCAACATAAAAAGAATAAATGTCAGATCAACGGCTAGCGTGAAAATAATAGACGGATGGGCATCTGATAGAGGAAATATGTTAGTCAGTTTCTAATAATGAGCTATGACAAATACAAATAGTTACATGAGATCTATGAACATGAAAACATTCTTCTGAACACTAACATTATACTGCTTCACAACTTGGTGTTAATACATGTATTTCAATTTATTACAAAGCATGTTTGTATTCAGTTAGTAGGCCTACATCTACCTCACCTTAACAAAAATGTCAGGAGAGATCTAGAGCTGACTAATCTAGTTATTTATATTGATGATGTAGTAGGTTTCTGCAATTTTATTGGTTGTCAACCTACGTGGCGAATCATAAATCCACAGACCATAAAATAATCAGATCTATTCTCTATTGATATTATCATAATCTCTAGTGACTAGTTTATGGTCTTTGCTAAAGTGCAAAACCGTGGATCTCGTCTTGTCTCCACGTAGTATTATTATGTAAATGTGTCTTCACGATGTTGTGACTGTGTCGACTGTTCCGACATGGGTATGAATATCAAACAATATGACACACCAAATCCTTAATCATCACGCACCCTTTGCATTTAGGCTGCGGGTGCACAACAGTTTAACTGGTTCTGCTATTGGTACGCGGAACCACAGGTATCGCCAGTCAAGTACCCAGTCATGTCAGCCATGAGCGAAGGCGAGCTTTAGTTGCTCGATCGTATCACGGCCAGGTAGGCATGATTCGTACAAAATGTTCATTTTTTATGTAAGTAACAGTAATCTATAACATGTCTTTGTGAAATTATAGTTCTAGACCTGATCGAAACTATTTTATGTATGGCTCATATCGGTCGGTCTTTTCGTCGTTTACTATAATCTGTAGGATGATTTACGATATGTGGTAATAGTGTAATATAGGCCCTATAATGTCTACGATATAAGGCGATACATATTTAATGGGAACAAAGGCTATATGATATCTGAGAATATATAAGCCACCTTCTTTGATTGATTCACACATGGCATGCATATAGCCTATACATATATATACTATAATAATCATACATGATAATGATCAGTAATCTTGGAAACCACTAGGCCTATTTAGCGCCTACCTTCACTCACGTCGATCATTGGCAATCAGGTTCCAAGCACATCTAAATATCCTAAACTCCTTGGTTTTCTTCCAATAATGATCTTCTTCAGAGAATAAATATAAATTCCAACTATCCATTTCTCACAGAACGAACATAGCGGTTTGGATATAATACCAGGCATAAGGTTAGTGGACAGATATATCCTGAAATATCTTTAAATATGAAAATGAAATGTCACATTTTCAGTAATATGTATTCCCTTTACGTAAACCACCCAAACTACGTTAGCTTCTTCGTTTTCGTGACACGTACAATTTGGAAATTCCAGGTTGTTCGAAGTCTATTTATAGATCCACGTTGCGGGGACAACTCATATATATATGCAAATGGACGCGATATCGTCAATCTCATTAAAATCAGATCTTAGTTCTCGATACAGACACACTCTCTGTAAGTATATAGTTAGTTTTCAGCCATAATTGTTGAATTTTGTTTATGTTTAATATAGTTGCAAAGTGTCGAACTAGCTCTTGTCTCATTAAACACTACAAATAACAATGAAGCTAAAAGCATGTTATATATTTGTGTCATATAGTTCATGCATGTATAATGTGTATACTAATAACACTGCTTCACATATCATTAATCCTAGTGACGCTTCCATTCAACCAAACAATGGGGGTTCAAAGCCCCGCAACGTCAATAACTAATTCAATTTTGAAGTTTTACAATACTGTTCTGCCATCCTTCTTTAATTAGTTCTTATACATGTAATATATAATTTAAACGGTCTTGATTTATACATATAATAGTTGAACTATTGCCATACGAATTTGCGAAAGTCACCTATTCACAATCTTCTTTTACGACAAAAACAATTTACATCATATGTTCTCTGGTCACAAGAAGGCTTGCCACACATCAAATTACGACAAACGTTGTGTGGAAAAATATATTCAATGGACTGGGCTTCGTCTCTTGGTTATTGTTTGTGATGCATGCATGTGGCGCTAGCGTTTTTACGAACTCAAGACGCGCGTCTATTGGTTAACATAGATATGTTAACCAATAGACGCGCGTCTTGAGTTCACATATGATTGGTTAGTAAGCAATCTGTTTCACAACGCCACCTATATCGAAACTGTTGACCCGGTGGTCTTATCCTGCTGCATATTATATTAGAGAGGCTTTGAGCTGAGGTTGTGAACTGCAAAGAAGATCTTTACAATGACAGTCGGACTCAAAATCTGTTTATATATGCAGATGCAGGGGACATCGAACGTTAAGGGGGTTGTAGTCAAAACGGCTTCAAAACATAAAATGGCCACACACAAAAGTCAAAACGGCCACAAAAAAAGTCAAAACGGCCACAAAAAAAGTCAAAACGGCCTCAAAAAGTCATAATTAAGGGCCACAACAAAAAAGTGAAAACGACCACGGCCAAATATAATAATGTGAGCCGGATGTGTACAGAGTGTACATGTTAGATGTTATTATTAATAACAAATGAATATCTAATGTGAGCAGTAGGTGTACAGAGAGTACATGTGAGATGTTATACATTCTAAATGAATATCTAATGTGAGCAGTAGGTGTACAGAGAGTACATGTGAGATGTTATACATTCTAAATGAATATCTAATGTGAGCAGTAGGTGTACAGAGAGTACATCTTAGATGTTATTATTAATAACAAATGAATATCTAATGTGAGCAGTAGGTGTACAGAGAGTACATCTTAGATGTTATTATTAATAACAAATGAATATCCAATGTGAGCAGTAGGTGTACAGAGAGTACATCTTAGATGTTATTATTAATAACAAATGAATATCTAATGTGAGCAGTAGGTGTACAGAGAGTACATCTTAGATGTTATTATTAATAACAAATGAATATCCAAAGTGAGCAGGATGTGTAAATACAATGTATGATCTTCCAGTAGAGTTCATGTGTTGTTGTTTTAACCAATCTCATCAATTTACTTTGATCTCTGTACTGACCAGTGTACCAATATGTTATGAAAACATGAATACAATTTTATCCTAATGATGAAACCTTTCGTGGCGGTCTGTGTGTACACAATTAATCTGATCCGATCTATGAACTATTATATAATGTATATAATACAATTAATGCATAATACAATTAATATGACACAATACTTTGGTTTGACTTCTATATTTTCTGTGCGAAACGGCCACAGAAAAAAAGTTTTCTTTACCTTGAGGCCGTACTTACATAGGGCCGTTTTGACCCGCCCTGAACGTTAGTAAAATGAACTTACACGTTAGACCACGAAATATTAGTTATCATTTCTTCGTTGTTCATTTAACAAGATAAGAGGCTATATAGCTACGAATAGGTACTTATACCTTATCCTTATAGTCAAAAGAAGGAAAATATTTAATCGTTGGTAATACACATGCTTGTTTATTATATGGAAACTATATGTGTCAAGAGAAAATGCGGATTTGTCTTTGGCAGCAAACAACTCATCATTGGCACCACATCCATAGCCCTACTTTAAAAAAGTATGAGACAGCATAAAGTAATGAAGTAAAGTGAATAGTATTTATCACATATACCTAAATTAGACAATGAATTGGACACTTTTTATGTTAGCGAGACTATTACATATATACCTCAATTGTAGAAAGAATTCCACATTTACATGGAGTTCTAAATTCGTTGTTTGTTTGTTTGTTTTAAACTTAACTCCCCACTCAGCAATATTCCAGCTATATGATGGCGCTCTGTAAATAATCGAGCCTGGACCAGACGATCCAGTGACTGATATCATGGGCATGGATACGATGACGTGCATCAACCATACCCTTAGCCGACTCTCACGACAAGCATTTAATTGCTGAAGACCTATGCTAACTCTGACGTTAAGGTGTCTATTAATTGTATATTAATAAGATAAATGACGATATGACAAAATGATGATTTCCTACATAACACTACTCAATATACCTTCATTCTAATGTTTTTCTGTAGAAATTATCAAAACAATATAGTGTTTCATTGTCAGTGCTACCAAAAAACATACAACTAAGAAAGGCATTGCTCATAAATAATGACCATAAATTTGAAATAATGGGGGGAATCACATAACCATTTTCACGGGTAACTCTTTATATATAAGAAATACCTTCTAAGTTGCGAAAGGGAGTATGTATTATCCATATAGCCCTTAAGCATGCAGTTGGTATTAAAGCTTCAATAAGAATGTGCATACATATATATGTAACAGGTAAACTAGTCAATATGTATACACAATTTGAACTTATTCATACATCTTGCACACCCATGACGCAAAACCACATTAGAACTATTACACTGTTTCATAATGTAGCTTAGTGGCCCCATTTTTATTCTTCTTTAAAAAAAAATATAATTCTAATCAGTTTGTAAGGCTATGGCAGTGTAATGTTAATAATCAGTGACAATGTATATGCAGTGGGAATTTAAAGTGTCACGGACTTACAACAGTGTAAAGATGAAATACATGCAGGACGGTCTGGATATTTAGAGTCACTTCGTTGTAGAATATAATCATATACACGTTTAGTTTATAACGAAATAATATTGGTGCATCATGCACACTTTCACTAGCGGAGAGACGAATATGATCAAAATAGATTATAAATACATAAAATACTTATGAATAGATGTGTAGGGTTCATTTGAACTGTATAATAAGAAACATTATGAACATCAGAAGATCGTATACAACGACCCCAGATAAGTTCCTGGAGTAGAATCAGTTTCAAAATGTAGAAATGTTCCCTGGTAGATCTAGTTATTTGGTTTTAGAATTAGTCTTCAAACTGGAATCCCACTGTCAGTTGAATAAAAAACGATTCTATGTGAAAATGATATGCATAATGTTCATAAAAGACACCACTTCAATATTGGCTTCATGGAGAAATATGTAAAGGAATTATTTTCTCGAAACGAAATGATACACACGGACACGTCGATCACCATATATAATTTCAAGTGAAACAACCCTTTCAATCAACACCTGTAGGTTGGTAGCATCATTATGACGTTTACCCAATTAGGCACCCACGCGGTGCTTGGTGACATCAGAGAAACATGTCGTAATGTTGTACATCAATTGAGAAATCCATAACATTGAAAGTTTAGGGGTTTTGAAAATTATGAAAAAAAAGACCGAAGTGTGATTCTATTCATAAGCGATTAAAATAAACATGGGTTTTACCATGTTTCTAAAATGAGGCCATTACACACTAGGTTCATATACTACACGACTCACAATGTGAAAGAGGTGATCTGCGAAGGTAACAAATTGCATTTACCATTTTAGTTAACCATCATCGCTTCGTTTCAGGTCGGGGAAACGGGGAAACACCATGGTGGTTCCCCCCAGTGCAATTTTCCTACAACTGTTTACCGTTGGTCGATAACAACTTAGAATTTCCTTGAACAATAATAACGAAACCGTGATGTCACTTATGTTAAAGCATGCCCATGTGAGTAGGACATGTCTGGTTGATTATTGAAGTCCCTAACAATTCAAATATCACCAGGCACGATTTATTGATAAACCCACGTGGGTATGACAAAACCTCGCCCAGATAGACATCACGAGACACAACATGACATATGGCGATGGGTGAGTGTGGTGTGCAACAAGCTCCTCACAGCGATAGTACGTTCCCGGAGCTCTCTATACTATGTTACCGAGAGTGTAACGAAGGTGTCACGCGCTGGGAAGGAGCTTGGGTGTGCACGATGTATGGGACCCAACCTGTCCACTGACTTGAAGCACTATCAGTAAACTGTATAAAACGCCTGTGCTCGCGATCCAGGAGAGCTGTCATAGGTCAGTATATGTCTGTATCGTAGAAATGGCAACTATAGAATTAATTTTTTTCTCTATTGTTGTAAAATTATTTATATTTCTGTAAAAGAAAACCCCATTTCTATTCAGTTCAGGAATTGTATCGTGTGCAAGAGTAGGTGTTAACGTGCAATTTGACAGTCGACGGGAATAAAAAATAAATTCCTGATGAGATGTTAGGACGACTTTCCGGTGATATGTTGTATGTACCTGTATCTAAACAGCAATAAATAAACGTGTTCTGGTGAGCTTTTTGTAACTTCAATTTCTTGGTTCGTATTGAAGCCTTTGACTATACATCATGTTGCCATGTAAACATATTTAATATGAATGTGTCACTTTGCTACCTCTTTACCAGCTGGCACAAATACACCATGACGGATAGAAATTTGCCAG